GAAACAATGAATGGATACCTCATGTTCGAGAAAAGGCTCAGCTGTCATGCAAGTTTTGCCACTGTTCAAATTTCATTACGAAAGTGTTACTTTGCTTTTATTGTGAGTTTTAGGTTATGGATACTGAGAAAATTCCAAAATGTATGAAAAGTGGACCAAGATATCTAGCTCCACCTCACATGCGAGGGCGTGCTAAAAAGGAAGCTTTGAAGCGCAATAAAGATAAGACGAAAGAGCAAGAGGAAAAAACAAAGGTATGGAGAATTGAGAAAGCAGTTTTACGTGATCTGTGTTTTGTTTGAATTTTCTTTCAAAGAATAGTGTTCACCTATGTCAACTGTTATCTTTTTTTTCTGACGGAATGACGGACTTTAGAAAATTTTCCATTCATCTCAGTCGCGTGCCACATTGCCTCATTGTCAGTAGTCCTTGCTCGAGGGACGCGATGTCTTTCTACTTTTCGTTTAAAACTCCGCTAAGCAGTCCCATTGTCAAGCCGGCGGTCGTCCTCCACTTTCTTTGGGGTTCAACATTATATTTCATAGGTACCGCACTAGATCCTGCTGGCATTGCACAATCAGGCTTCAACTGTGATGTGCGACTTTGGCAAATCGATTTCGGACTCTAGGGCAAATGCGACGTCGTCTTTGATCATATCGATCAAGTTGACAGAGTTCGCTTCACGGTTTCCCTATATAAGGAAACTCAAATCATCTCTCCATGCCATAATGCATAAGAGGCGATCGCATCTTTGTGCAGAGTCCATGTCTTCGAAGCGTACGTTGAAGCAATAAGGGCTTAGGATCGTGGAGGCGGGCACAGGCAGTAGTTCTTCGTTTCCTTCACCCCTTCACTGATTCTTTTTGCTCCCAATGTCACAGTTCTGCTCCTGTTTGGCAATGGACTTAAGTCGTTTGTCATTCTGATTTCCTGAATTACCATACGAACATCTATATGGGACATTCGGATGTTCGCTCTGTTGAGAGTGATTGGATGAATGCCCGCAAAGCGACCTTTCCATGTGCACAATCGAAGTCAATCAGATCTACCTGCTAAATGTTCGTTGTTATTAGCTAGATGTGTTCAGCCAAGGTAACGTTATTAGGTAGGTTAGGGAACGTTAATTGTCGGCTGTTGAGCCTCACATCTATATGTTCATCAGTAGACGCAGACATTTTGAAGAGCAGCGCTGAAAAGTTTAGGCCAGATGGTATTTTAAATGGTTAGATGTTCTTATAATTGTTGTGCCGCCTGCTCGTATCCAGTCTTAATGGTTCGCGAGTGTCAGCCGATCCGCAGGTTTTGATGGCTTGGTTGGTCTGACTATACATGTCTTAAAATTCGACTCCCTTATCATGTTTATGGTAGCGGCTGTCACTAGTGCAGCTCTGCTAGGCAAACACAATAGTAGTTGCTGGTAGTGTATTACAATATCATTAATTAGTATATACATATAGTATTTGTTCTGCTATGTAGTTTATTACTCTGATGTAAAACGATCAACGTTCCAGGCGAGACGGCAAGCTGCTCAAAAACGAAAACTAAATAAGCTTAGAAGTCTTGGTATCGAATATGAACTGGATACGATAATGTCAATTTCTAAACCTGTGAGTAACAATTTTCCATTGTATTTAATTGCCAGGTAAGTATGCCTAGTTGCCGCCGCTCGAGATCACGTGCACATCACGGTCCCTTGGCGGCATGAAACGGAGTAACCGAAATTCTCGAATTAGTATCACCTATCCTCAGCGTTTGACCTCTCTCCCTTCGCCAGCCTCTGCCAATTTGCTCCCGGTCGCTAGGCCACGTAGGAACTGGGTTATAAGTTATTAGATAGCTTCCACTTTGGCACACACCCCGCCCACCATCGGTACTTGGCCTTTCCTCCTACGCAAATCCATCCATTTTTTCTGGTTTATGCGCCATCTCGGAACAAATTTAAGACTTATGGAGAAATCCGCTCACCTCTCCTCAGCGTTGATTCTCCTCCATTACATTTTTTCTCTTCTTGCTCCGTCTACTTCTCTTGTACACCCCATCCACCATCAGCGTTTGACCTCTTCTCCTTCGTCAGCCTCTATCCAATTGCTTCCCGTCCTGCTGGCTTTTTGGAACTGAATTATGAGGATTTGTGAAAAACAAGCGCACTTTGAGAGGCGATCCGCCCATTGTGGGCTCACCTTCGCCTCACTTCAGGTGTGCTTTGTGTACCATAGACATTGCTCATTTCTCTATTTTCTACTTCTTTACTGTCTGCAAACGCTCCACCCATCAGTAATGGGTCGTTCTAATTCGATCTGGCTTATCAATGCACACTTTCACCTTCTTTTTCCCGGTCTCCCGGCTGCTTTGTATCAAATTCGAAATTTTCGTTTCAAGTAGCGCTCGTTTCACCGCGCCAACTATAGGCGAGGCTTCGCTTAGCTGAGGTGCGTTTTGGAGTTTCTAGTCCATGCTCCACCCTCCTTAATCTTACCATCACCCCGGCCTCTCGGCCGAATTTCATAGCAGGTAATCAGACTGGCCAGAAAGACAGTCAGATAGTGCCAATTACAGCTAACAAGGGAAGGATGGTAGGTCGAAGTGGCCGTATAAAATGAGATGTATACCACCTGATGCGTCTCTAGACGCTGATTCCAAATCTGCCTTCCAAATCTGCTAAACGGCTCTCCGAACGGAGTTATGAAGCGTAATAGCTCAGTGGTGATGGTCCGGGGTGGCAGGTAAAAGCTCGTAGGATCGGTTCCTTTGCAAGTTTGTTGCTTTGCTTTTGTCCGCAACACTTCTAGAGACAAAAGCAAAGCAACAATTTGCAAAGGAACCGATCCTACGAGCTTTTACCTGCCACCCCGGACCATCACCACTGAGCTATTACGCTTCATAACTCCGTTCGGAGAGTCGTTTAGCAGATTTGGAAGGCAGATTTGGAATCAGCGTCTGGAGACGCATCAGGTGGTATACATCTCATTTTATAACGGCCACTTCGACCTACCATCCTTCCCTTGTAAGTTTTATACGGATTGCTCCTCAAAGCTTATTTCGAGGGCGGCTTTCTTCTGCTGCGAGGTGAGATCACTGGAATGATTATAATTGTAGAGTTACATTCATGCTGACACAAGGAATAAGTGTTTCAGGATACTTCGGACATTAAAGAAGTGGAAAAATCAGAAGAACATGTAAGTTTTGCCTTTTCATGCTTAAAATTAACTGCTTCTAGGAGGAACTTTGGTCCGCTTTGAGATAGAGGAATTGCACCATTCAAGCTGAGGACGACGTGATCACTTGAATCGCCTGTGTTTCTTTCCTTTCAAGACAATCGCTTAATTTAGGTGGAAAGCTCAAAGCCGCCCGTAAAGAAAATGAAGAGTTCGAGGCCACACGTGAAGAGAGGTCAAGGGCTTAGGGGTGAAGAAGGTAAAGGTAGTGCGCAAGTGATGGGTTGTTGTTGTTGTTGTTGTTTTTGTGCTGCTGTTGGAATTGTTGTTATATTGAGCTGCTCACGAATTATTCCTTGATGATCCGTGGTGATTCGTTACATGTTGAGTCTATTCATAATCAGTGTATAGGTTGCTTGTCATTGTTGTTTTCCATGTTGATAAGAAAAATTCGAATATGAATGAAGTGCTGCTGGTTTTCACGGTATAAAATTCCGAGGTCTCGTCCAAAACTCGGCCAGAGGGGTCTCATCCAGTAAGGGGGCATCAAGTGGCTGCCCTCACCCCCCACCCCCCCCTAGACTGCCTACACTCCCCTGGCGCACAGGTTTCTCGAAGTACGGGACCCCGTGAGCCAGGGGGAGTGAAGGCAGTCTAGGGGGTGGGGAGGGGGCCCCTACTAGAGAGCGCAGAGGCGGTAAAGGGCTGAGTTCAGTGTAGTCCATCGACCGTTGCAGCCGTGAAATTCTCGAAGTGAAATTTGGTCACATGCGCGCAAAATCAATAGATGCAAACATAGCTTGCACACGCCATCAAGCACATGGTCACGCGCGAGAACTGTGTGACGTAGCACCTGAAAAGACCGTATTCTGTTGCTCACCACGTTGCATACATCGGCGTCACGGCACTGATTGCATCGCTTTCTTTCACATAGTGCACGTCGAGTACCAGACCATACAAACATCGTTTTGGCGACGGCTCAAGTGCCCTCTTTCGTTTGGTTGGCGCGGTGGGGGAAGTTTTACTGCCAGTATCTCTTTGGTGCCCCACCCCTCTTCAAGCAAAAGTAGGCCTTTCACACCCCCCGTCTTTGGGGTATGATGTCATCGCCGTCGAGCTTCAAGAGAACTAATGTAACTGCTCAGCCTTGAGCTGCTCTGCAAATCTCGTGTACCATTGCTCCCGTGGAGAATTCTTTTGATGTTAGCGGTTGTAGAGTCTTTTTGGTGAGCGTTCTGACAGGGGGAGTGAGCTCTTTCAATTTTTTTCTGGCTGGAAACGTTAGGTTTGAATCTAGCGAAGTGTGATCAATTCCGTTTTCATGATCGAGTGAGAACGACTTTTTTTATTGCTTCCACTCCCCCCACCGAGTTCATTCCCTACCATCTTTGTTACATATGTATGTGGCCGTTCAGTTTCCGTGCAAAACTCGCAGTTAGCCTTCAAGGGATTCATTAGGAGCTTGCTGTTCAGTAAAAAATCAATACCGTACTATCTGAACTGGGCAAGGGGCAAGCTTGTAGCAAGTCAATTACACTAATTTTTTGAAGCGCCATTGATCTTCAAAAGCTCGGGCTCGTGGATTCGTGACTTTTCCAGATTTCAGTTCAGTTGATTACCCTAAAATTGAACTTACAGGAGGGGAAGGGGGTAAAGGGCACATTTCATTTCAAATAAAAAACTTCAGTATCCCTCTACATGGACGACATCAAAAAAATCTGCTACGGAACAAGGTGCACGAGTCGAGCTCAATGAAGTCCCCAACGGATCAAGTATTAGGTTGGAAAGAAAGTTCTGCACACTCTTTCTAAAATTTTCTTTTTTTTCTGAAAATTCATAGGTAACATTTATGACTAACAAATGGTAGAGCATTCTCGAGGCTTTAATCCACGAGGGTGGATATAAGTGCTGCAGTCAGTAGTTATCCAAGAAAATTCAAAAAATCCTCGACCACTAGCAAATCCATACTCCGAGTCACTGTCTAGTACAAATGTCTCCAAACTATGGATTCGTGTCAAAGACCAACACTATCTGCAATAGCTTCAATAGGCATGTCGTTCACCGCTACAGCGTGTTTCACCTTTACCAGCGCTTTCGATCTTTTGATATTTTTATAAGGAGCCAGCAGCGTCCCGCACACTCCATTACAGGTAGGCTCTTATGGGAAGCTCCGCTACAAATTCTTCGCTTATGGGCACCATTGTGTAGGTAGAGGTCTATGCTGCGAAACTCCAGAAGTTGGCCGAGGCAGGTAGTCGGGAGCCTCGTACCGCGACAATATATTATTATTTTCCATGAATTTGACATTGCGAACATACTCCCGAAATGAGCGGCAGAAAGTCTGGGGTCTGTGAGCGAGATGTCTCAACCTCTTAGCGTAATCCCCTGGTCGAGCTATAAATGACTTCTACCTGGACCTTAATCATCATCTTGATGACGAAATAATTAGACGATCAACTCCAACTCGAAAGTGAGGTCGCCTCCTTTCTCGACCGCACTCCGCTGGGTTTTGGCAAAGGAGCATCAAGAAATTTTCTGAGCGTTGGAGACAAGTGGTGGACACTCATGGTAGATTTATTACACATCTAAGTAGACATGTGAAGGAGCTTCCAAAAAAAATTATAAAACCAATTCCAGAACACCGTAAGTAGAAAACTTGCAAATCGACCTAAATAATAAATAAAGTAAAGCAACTAACCGTCAGATAAAACAATGGATCCAACAACAAAAACGAGAGGGAGAAGGGTTAGCAACAGTTGAGGGAGAACTATTAGCTGACATCCTTAAGATAATGGAATACATCCCGATGAAACTTAGAGAGTTTAAGCGGTATCGTGATTATCTTGCTCATCTTAGCATATTCAGTTCCAGCACGTAATGTGAAAAAATGACTACGAATTGCTGTTTTGGCTTTCTTCAGGAAAAGTTTCTTAGATGTACCCCTGGTAGACGAATCATAGAAGGTAAGCAAGTCAGAAGCTGCAAAGGACATAGAACCATGTATAATCTTGAACATGGTAATGAAGATCATTTTTCAACCTCCGTTTACGTAGAGACTCTAAATTCAGCATTTTATCCCTTACGATAGACCGAGGAATGCTACTGTATGTGTAACCAAGACATCTGATGAATACTTTTCTAGTGAAACTAGTTTGAACTCGTTCAAGTAACTGAACAATTTTCTTTTTGTAGGGGAAGAAAACGCACGTGCCATATTCAACAATAGGCCTGACATACATCTTATACGCCTTGATCAAAACAGAGGGATCCTTACTGCAAAGTGACTTCAGTAATAAGAAAAGACGTTGCTCAGCTTTGGATGCAATATTGATACAATGGCTCAAAGGATAAGTTAATGTTAATTGTGAAACCGAGATCTTTGATTTCCGAGACTTCCTCGATGGGAGTGGATTGAATATGATACTTATACTTGGCATTGTTTCTACCTAAGTAAAGTGCTTTCGTTTTAGTCGTATAACTTCGTATAATGTATGCTATACGAAGTTGCACAGAAGATAAAATTAAAACAAAAATTTCGAAAAGTGTCTGCAGGACTGTCTTCCATCATGTACCATTACATTTTCTGAAAAGCGGGTTTCGAGGGGGTTTGCATAGCCAGAGTCGCTCTATCTAGGAAACTATTCAGCAGTGGATTGATTCAGAAATTATGTAAGCTGGCAATCAGGGCAATTCACGGTAGGTCTCCTTGAGATTGACGACGATGGCAGATGATGTCATATCTTGAAGACGGTGTGGGCAGTGAGGAAGGGCTTGCGTATACTCATAGAGGGACATTCAAGGAATATTTTGTGTGGGAGACTTCGTCAACGGGTGGCAGATCTTTGTTAGGCCGTAAAAATCGGTGGGATTGTCGCAATTGCATTGGGTAGCATTTGTCGAAATGCTTTTTTTTTTTTGGTCCTCCTCTTTAATAGAACGCTGAGCTTGGTGGTAAGTGCCGGTCTTCGTTACTGCTTACTGCTGACTTTCAATATAATGAGATGAAAATTGTGGAAGTAGAAACCAGGTATCCATTGTTTTTCCTTGTTGTTTTTTATTCTGAGGAGAAGAGGTCAAAACTCGAGAAAGTATAATATCTCAAAATAGGTGTTTATCAGGTCTTCTTTGTAGAAATAAATGACTTCCTATTTTTATGATTTCAAAGTAATTAGCTCATTCGAGTACGCTATTTTGAGGCATTGTTGCAGGCATGCTACTGTATTGACGAATGCTTTTTATTCGCGGCAGCTAAGAAAGGTACCCAATATTAATTAATTGCAAATAAACTGGTCCACCCAGCAAGAAAGATCGGCCAGTTGCTGAGCTCCGTGGTGGCTTGTGTTTAAGTGGAGGGGTCGTAAATCTGAGGTTCATCGGGTGAACCTGATTCATCGCTCTCCTATCGCTAGCGATAACCGGGTGCGATCGGAGGCAACGATTTGCTGCTTGTGTTAGTGACCTCATCCTACGACGCGGTTGATGACGCAACTCGTCCGACGATCCGTCTCGATTTGGTCGTTCATCATCGGAGCATGCTTATTAGACGGGCAGGACAATATACAACTATGATAGACATCTATTCATTATCTCGGCACCTCGCCTTGATTTGCGCTACGCTGAGACATGCGCCTCCGTTTGAGTGCTACTGAGAGATACTTGACTTCTTTGCTCACCCCAATGGCAAGCTCAACAACTCTCCTGATGGAGGGCTGGATGATATTTATTATACGAAGGATTTACTGTAACTGAATCACGTCACACCCACTCAGTACCCCATCCCACTCGAAAATGAAGATCGAGTGGAGGAGTGTATTTCCAACGGAGGAAAATGAAAGAAATTGCCGAAAGCACCGGAATCATGGACCTCCTTTTCGTGGACAGTGGAAAAGTCCACAAAATTACACTGGACGCCGAAACAAGAGAGTGTGTGGGGACGAGCGAGACGCAGGCATGAAAACAATCACAACGGTTGTGCGTGCAGATGCAAATGATCGTAAATAAGCTTTGTCAACTCTTCTACACGTGGTTTTGGGTCGCAAATGGAACTTTTTCTGCAGGCTGCAAACCCGGCTGTCTTGTTTCGAGGAGCTGTTCCCAATGAACGAGATCTGAGAGATCGGTCTGAGCTGGAGATCGAAGCAGGCCTTCGCATTTGCTTTTGGGCTAGACTTATTCTTACAAGGGAAAGGATGGTAGGTCGAAGTGGCCGTTCGAAATGAAATGTATACCTCCTGATGCGTCTCCAGAC